CGTCACGTTGCCATTGGGCTTAAAAACCCTGGGAGGGTCACTGGGTGGTTCAGCTGTTTGGGAAATAAAGTCACACATTTCTGTATTATCACCTATCTTACTGTGTGTCTGAGAAACACTGTACAAATAAGCAGCCAGACAAAAACAATTAAAGGGTGAGTGTTCAAAGTTAAACTCAATTATTTTAACGAGGAACTACAGCAATGCAATAACATCCCAGAATACACTGAATTTGAAAGAGACATCCCTTTAGTAAGTTTTTCTGTAAAGGCTTTTTGTATTTTCATTTTTATGTTACACAAACATACAAAAATGAAACACATGATGGGTGTTATGACAATGCATCAAGAAAGCAGATTAAGAAAGGCCTAATGCTGGCACTGGAGTAAAGGTCAAACGATCACTCATTAAAGTCATTCAAATACATAATCTGGCAGCTGTAAGTGTTAATTGTGTCTACTGTTGTTGTTATTAAAGTTAGGGGGTGTATACAAATGACTCTATTTCTCTCTCTCTCACACACACACACACACATACACACACACACCTACACACACACACACTTACGTGCAGCTGTGACGTTAACAGCTCTCCTGAGGGTCAATTATCTTTCTGTCGCAGAAAAACACACCAGTGTCCTCTCTGTAGACTTCACAGAGATGTAGCCGCCCAGTCTCGTCCACACAGGAGTCTCGGTTTTGACAAGAAGACACAGGTTTATGAAGCTGTGAAAAAACAAACCTGTTGTTGAGTTTTCACTTTGATTGATATGTTTTCATAGTGAAATGGATAATCCCGGTAATGTGTGTACTGCACCTTGTGCCAGATGACCTCTGTGTTGTTACTACAGTTGAGACCTGGGCAGGGCACCTTCCCACCTATATCCAACACCAGCACTACACTGCTCTCCTCCGCCGTGGAGCATCCCACACTGGATCTTCCCACCACGTGCAGGTAGGGATGCATACCGGTATCCGGTATTACCGAAATACCGGTTACTGGTGGCTACGGTATACCGTACCGAAATCAGATCCGGTTTCGATACTTTAAAAAAATATATATATTTAAAAAATATATATATATATTTTTTTTTTTATTTAATTTTAAAAGTGAGTCCGTGGCCTGTGATGGCGGGTGTTATAAATTAGATTGCATAATCGTTTTTCTTCATATTTTATGTATTTTTCATTGTTTGTTCAATACTAGAAAGGTAAAAGTCCCACAAATGAACTGTGATGGGATTTGTTTTCTCTCACCAGTGAAGGCAAAGGTTGATTTTAAAGATGAGATTTGTTTGTTTGTGCAATGCCGAGATCTCATGACCTTTATTCTATTATTTATTTGTTCTCTAGTGACTAGTCGAATCTCAGGTTTAACATTAATTATAACGGTGCTATAACGGTCTGTTTGCATTGACAAGATGTGCTATTCACGCGGCACACCTGATGGCGGGTGTTATAAAAGATATTCCATAATCGGTTTTCTTCATATTTTTTATGTATTTTTCATTGTTTGTTCAGTACTAAAAGGTCCAAGAAGTCCCACAATTAAATGTAATATTCATTTGACATGTTAACTATATCGTAAAGCGCTTCATGGGAGTAATTGTGGGATGATACATTTTCAAAGTATCACGATATGTATCGGGTGAGTATCGGTATCGTTCAGTGGTATCGGTATCGTAAAAAAGTCAACGATATGCATCCCTGCGTGCAGGTAAAGGAAAAACTTGCTGCCACTGAACAGCAAGGACATGAACACTTATTACAAGCTCAATCATGTGGCTCACACTCAAAAGTTACTGTTGTTAACCCTTTATAGGGCACTATTAGATTAACCCTAACCGGCTAAAAGCTGAGGGTTAGGCTAGGTTTCTTTTACAGAAATAAGTCCTGTTTTCTAGCCATGTTGGATAAACTACCATCTTATATTGTATCTGCTCCCTGATCTCTCAGCGAATTGAAAGTACTTATTGCCTGAGATCACATGCTGTGGTTTTATTAAATGTGCCAAGTGCTAGGACTGTCTTAGGGAAGAAAGATTTTAGATGTGCAGCTCCATTTTGCTGTATGATGTCCTTTTGTTGTTTATGTTTTTATGTCTTCTTGTGGAACCTACTGCTGCAGGTCTCCCTTGAAAAAGAGATCATTGATCTCAATGGGATTTTACCTGGATAAATAAAGGTTTTGAATTTAATTTAATTGAACCCGTTTCAGGCCTCTGCTGATTGGTCAAACGGGATGCCTTGATGTCCTTGATCTCCTTCTCCAGTCCTAGACCACACCTTCGGCTTGTGCTGGTTCAAAGACTGTATGCATGGCATCATGAAGATCTCCCCCTCCACAGCTCTGTAGTGCTGCTGTGGAGTATCTCGCTGAAACCCTAGAGAGTTGTGTTTTTAAGTGATACAGTCAAAAAGGGCTGGGACACCGTTCACAAATACATGCTTCCTTTTAAATTCACATTTAAAGCAAAGGTTGTTAACTGGTATATTGAAAGACAATTCAAGTTTAAACTTAATACCTGTTATTTTCACATGATGGTTTTTCGAACATCATCCTTCCAAGAAAATGGGAAGGCTCAAAAGCCCAAGAATGTATCCAGTTTGCATTCTGTGTCTGTAAATCTTTTAACAATATCGGTGCTCTTAAGTCTTCGTTTTCCCTCCCCTTACTTTGGTGTTCGCGGTCAAATTTGACCGGTCCTGTTTTAACTGCTATTACATTAACACAAAAACCATTAATCATCACCACATTTCATTTAACACCCTTTCAAACTGTAAATATTGTATCAGACTACTGGTATACATGAAAAACTGCAGTAAATATACAAAGAATAGACACTGAACATGTATTGCATCAGCACTTTGGCTCGACCAAAAATCGGTTTAAAAATGTGCTATATAAATAAAACCTGATTTTGTGTGCCAGGTTTGATCCATGTGGGGGGATGGGCACATAAGAGTGGGAAATGTATCAAATTGTTCTGTGTGTGTTTGTGTGTGCCAGGTGGGATTCACATGGGGGGATGGGCACATGAGGGGGGGAACACATCTAGAGTTTGTGTGTGTGTTTTATCTGATCCGGATGGTTACTAATTCCTTTTCTTTATGGCGGTCATTTTTGACCGGGAACACCATGGGTGTTACAAAGTTGACTAAATCATCCAAAATTCAATGAAAGTGGTGATCAGCAATTGTATCAAATGTCTACTGTGAAGGATATCATAAAGCCTTAATGCAATCGAAAGTAAAACAAAAAAGTTATGATTGATGAAAGTAGTAAATCGGCCGAAGACAACAGGAGGGTTAAACTTTCCAAAACAAATTCTGTGTATTACCTCATCTCGGGTTCTTGGTATTTTATCAATAGTACTCTGGTTTGAAAACGCCTATTGCTTGAAATCTTCGGGTCTCTTGTGCGGCAACATGAGGTGTGATATTATCACAGTGCATGTAGATGTAGACGGTGGTATTTCCTGTTTGGTTATGTTTTAAAAGGATTTAACTAGAATCGGCTCTTGTCTTCCTGTGAATAGTAAACCACTTCCTATCTGGGTAAATTAAGTAAGAGTTGTTATTTCTTAGAGTTATATTTTACTCTGTTGAAATGGTTTACGTGTATAGTGTCATAATAACAATTAAATTAAAATAAATAAAGTAGTAGACAGCCATTCTGATAGGAGGCAAAAGGCAGATTAGACACTGCCTTGAAGAAGACACATACATTTGATGTTATACAATTAAGGTGCCAAAAATAAAGGGAAACACAAAATAAATTAAGAGGCCAAAAGCATGTGTATAATACAATATACAATCTGGAGGAGGTGGCAGAGGGGAGGACGAGGAGGAAGCTAGACAGTATCCTAGAGAGAACCCCTCCCACCCACTGCATGCAGAGCTAGTGAAGATGAGGAGTACGTTCAGCCACAGACTCATCCCTCCACGACACAGCACCAAGCGCCTCGGGCAGTCCTTTGTGCCTTTAGCTATCAGGCTGCACAACAAGAGGTCAATAATGTGAACAATCACTGGACATACATTCACACACTTTCCACACACCCATGTTAATATATATAATACGTAATATGTATATATGACCCAATTTGTATGTCCATTTTCATTTTAGTTCATAGTTTATAAGACCCAATATGTATATATGCTAATTTTATTTATTGTATTCATTTCTTATTTCATAGTTTCTCATTATTATTATTATTTTTATTTTGTATCTTTGATCTTATTTTTTTATTTTATTAATCTGTGTGAATCTGTGCTAACCTGTTTTTTCACCCTTACCCTGTTGCTGTTTGAGCAACTGAATTTCCCCACGGGGATTAATAAAGGTCCATCTTATCTTATCTTATCTTATAGTAAGTCGTAAAGAAGCATTAAATTGTAAGCAGCTGTCAGCTGGTACCAGTGTTTTGCAACACCCATGTAAATAAGGTCATCTTGAAACTAAGGAGGTCAACTGAAAATGTTCTGTGAAAATGTTTCAAAATAGCTGTTTACTTAATCTTTATGCTGAGATATGTTAGGCTTGTTAAGAGTGGAATTCAACTCCTCATTTCCATATCAGAAAGAAAACAAAAATATAGTTTAAGTCCATTCATCCCTGGCTTTTTGCTTCTCAGTGTACTCTGTCTGCTCGACAGTTAGCGTACGGGTGCAGTCAACCACACAGTAAATGTGCATTATTGTGCTGAAAGTATATTTGGAAACCAAAACAGAGAGCTTAAAGAAGCTAAAGGTGATCATTTTAAATTGTTCTTAATATATAACTATATATAAAATATATGTATTTGAAGTAAAATGGAGACTTTCTCTATAGGGATCAAGTAAAACAGGTCATACACATGTTTGGTACGCAGTGACAGGAAACAAATTATGAGATTAAGAGCAGCATGATGTGACAACACTGATTATGTTTCCTGCAGAACACTGACACATAATGTGTGCTATGGCAGAACATGTGTTATAATAAAGAAGGGGAAACCTCTTTGAAAAATAAAACAGTGATTTTATTTAACACTTTGAAAGCAAAACATCAGCGGTAACAAAAATACATAGGTTAAAGAACCAGAAGTCTATAGACTGGTAACAAGAAGCCAGCCTACAATACTTATATAAGGATATTAAATGTCTTTGGGAAAAAGTCAACAATACAAGATTTTACAAGGAAATATAAGAAAAAGGTACATGTCAAATATGTATTTTAAGGATCTTCAGCTTGCCTAAAACGTGTTTGTATACTGTATTTGTAGCATACTGTTTTCATCTTCAAGTCATATACTCAAAATGTATATGATAAAAGATATTATTCTGATTTGCCTAAACATTTGACGGAACATCTTGACTTGTCTGAGGTAAAAGCCTTGTTTTAGATGCATGCTGCGGGGCAGGTAGGTGATAACGTAGCTGCTTCCAGAAGGGGGAGGAGGGCGGCATGGACCTCATGCCCTTCCAGGTGACACAGGCCCCAGCCTCACTTAAAATCTGTAGGGCCTCTGGGAAGGAGCCAGATTTCAACACTTCTGTTTTCTCAGTTTTGATGAAAACCAAACGGGTGTGCCGCTCCACCAGCGCTGCATGGATGGCACTCAGCAGGCTAGATCCCGGACCGGTATCTGGAGAGGAGGGAACCAAAAGCACCGTGCGACTCTCCTCTATACAGTCCAACACGGCCTCCGCTACAGCTGCAACCAACCAGGGCTCAGATTATTTATTATTTCATTAAGATTTTTTGTTAGATTTTCTTCTGAGTATTTGTTAAATAGGTACCTTTTCCTGGTAAGACGTCACGATCATAAAGGCAGAGACTGTAACCTAACCTCTCTTCCAAAACACTCTCCAGACACATCCTGTCATCTTCATTCAGTCCTGCGTCTGTGTCACTCTTGTAGCACATCAGAAAAGCATCATAGCTCTTTTCATCTAGGCACACAAACAACAGGGTTTTGTCACTGCTTACACATAAAGAAATGACGAATATGTGTCTCCATAATTTGAGAATCCCACCTGAGGTGCTGCCATGACAGCCAAGAGTGTCTCTTAGGAGAAGAGTGATGGTGATTTTGAACTTCACATAGATAACTACTGTCAAAACCGTCACCAACACAATGCTGACAATGCCAAGAGCCAGGGGAACATAAGAAGGGCGAGCTACAGGGAGAAAACAGAGAAAACATATATTTGTTTAAATGTAAGGTTGAAACACTAATATAAGGTCATTGATTGAAAGGGGACTGTCACTTACATTTGAATGAAAGCTAACTCAAACATTTCTGATTTTATATTTGGCCTCAGCCCTCTCAAAAAGTTCAACTATGAGTTTATTTAAGATTAAAGTGAATCATATGAACATGAATTATATCTATCCACCTTCTTACATACGTTTTTGGAACAAGCTGATGGTGACACTTGTTGAGGGTCCAGCAACAGTTTGCAGTTTACAGGTGTAATTTTTTAATAGATCCTCATCTGACACCTTTTTGAAAACTAGAGATGCCGTCATCTTTATCTCTTCACCATTTATTTCCCTGGAAAGGAAAGGGAAAGTACAGGTGTTAGTTATGATAGGTGTGTGTGTGTGTGTGAATATCTGGCTATGGACTATAACATTTTAACTTGCCGGTATATTTGTGTGAAACATTTACTTTGTGTAATTGTAGAAAACGGGAAAGCTGCTGTTTGTTTCCACAAATGAATCAGTGCTAAACCAGAACACCTCATCAAATTCCGAATCCATGAGAGCTTTACAATCAATCACCTTTGGAGAGCCTAGAAAAAAACAGAGTTTACACAGTTCCATAATTTGTTCATTTAGTCAGAGGGTAAATGCGTGAGTTCATCCATGTGTGTGTATCCACGCTTCAAGATTTATGCTCACCCAAATTTACATGAATTACACCACTTTTTGGTGATATGATCACTGGAGGAAGTCGAAGTCTTTCTGGGTGAAGAAAGGGTGGACACATTTTATATCTGTTTTCTTCTAAATAGAAAAGTAAACATATGGTGGGTAAGTGTTTTTCTTACCCTTTGGTTGGATATCAAGCACCACTGTAAAGGTCATGTTATATATTTTACCATAATACAGGTAAGATCTGGTACAGGTGTAGACACCATGGTCCTTCTCTTCAACACTTGAGAAGTAACTGGCTTTTGGCATTGACTCGCCTTCCTACAAGAAAAATATACTTGTCAATTTAAGCATACAATGAATAGAGATATGGTGTGATAATGTAAAAACAAATAATGCACAATGCAGCTTTTAATTTCCCAATAAAATCAAGAATATCTTCAGTCGACTTACCTTGTACCATGATATAACGCCATTGCTGGTAATGTTGAGGGTGACAGCTGGTGTGTTTACATCAGGACAATTCAATTGGCAGGCCTCTTGTGAGTGACATGGGTGAGGGTAACGGCTCCTCTGCTCGCACCCTCTGGACTGTTTTGTACAAACTCTCAGTCTGAACCAAAGCTGGCTGCTGGTATTGCTGTCATGTCAAAAGATTTCACATTTAGGCTTTAAACATTTTGCAGAGGTTCTAAAAATAAGATAGAGACGGCTTCAAGGAACAGTTTCTAAATCAGACATTCATGGTCCCCATAAAGTCTGGACTGGTCCATGACTTGGATGGATTTGAGTGAAAAGACTTGTCCGCCAAGGAGGTTATGAAAACCTGTTTACATGTCCGAACTATTTATGTCACTATTCCTATCCTTGCTTAATGACAGATTCCGAGAATTTGATTGATTGTAAAAGAGAAATACTCTTTATCACTTGGTTTTGACTTTACCCCAGAGAGCAGGAGTAATTCCCCTGATGGTTTGCAGTGGCGTTGAGAATCACCAGGCTCCTCCCATGAACCAGCAGGTCCCTGTGCCTCTGCTCAGCTGACGACATGTTGGGGGTCTGATCCATCTCCTGGCTCGGGGGACTGGTCCAGATCAGCTCAGCATCACAGTGATTATCCTCTCCATTCAGAGAGCAGTTCAGCGCCACCATCTCACCAGCCTCCACATACATCTCTTTGGGGCTCCGGACACACACACCTGCAAATGAGTGTCACACATTGGGTAGTTATAAAGGTTATCTTTATAACAACTTGAACTGGGCTATGGCTTGTCACTTACAGTATATGTTCAGTGTGTCACCCTAGATTGTATAATGTTAAATATTGACTGGAAAGATGATTGCTCTAAAAAATAATGAATCTAGATGGCACTTGGGTTGCAATTATTCATGTCCGACCTAGAGTATATGCTTCCTTCTGCTTGGTGATAAGGAAAGAAAATAGTTCCTACATAAACACTATTATTAAATCTCTGCTCTGATTGACTTGTGAGAACAATTTGGTAAGATACTCAGATGGACAGAGGTACATTGCATGTGAAAAGAAGAGAAGCCAAATCTGAATTGACTGTTGAATCACATGTTTGAAAACAAAAAAAAACTAAGTTGTCTTATTTGACAGTTTGTGTGTTGGTAGCTGCGGTTTCTAACCACATCCTAATTTCTTTGCTGCGTGTTAATGCATTTTCCATCACACTGAAATAACAAGCTTAAAGAAAATAAGTGATTGGCAAATGTATCCAACATTTAAATGTGTATGCAATAGTTGCACAATGTTTAATATCCATGGTGATCATATCTGTATGCCACTATATAGCATAGAAACAGTCTGTGCAGTTATTGTATTTTGGGGGCAGTCAGGACATCTATGAAGATTCCTTTTTGGTGGTTTTTCCCTACAGATTTATTCCAGCACTCTTCCAGTATTTTGAGTCTATTTTTAGCATACTTTATTAAGCATTTACATGTTCTGATGCTATCATTTTATAATACATTTCAGAGGCATGGACCCAAACTATAGTTTAAAAAAAAGTAAGCAAAAATGTAACAAAGAAAGTGAAAAGCATAAAAGCACATTCAGGCGGTAGGTATATAGATTCAGCCTAACAGTATAAGCCTACATAACAGTATAGCTTACAAAGAAAAAATACAACCTGTAAGGGAACACAGTTACCTTTTTTTGTATCCTGATTACGTAATCCCATTATATGTAATCCATTACTCCCCAAACCTGTCTATCCATCTATCAAGCCATCCAGAGGTGGGAGAAGTACTCAGATCTTGCACTTGAGTAAAAGTAGAAGTACCAGAGTGTAGGAATACTCTGTTCCAAGTAAAAGTTCTGCTTTCAAAGTGTTAATCAAGTAAAAGCACAAAAGTATTAGCATCAAAATATACTTAAAGTACATCAAAGTTAAAGGACTCATTGTGCAGACTGGTCCATTTCAGAATAATATTATATGTTCTGATTAAAACAATTGATGCATTAAAATGTTATCAAAGTTGGTAAAGGCGCGGCTAGTTTCAATGACTCTGTATACTGCAGGGTAGCTTGTGAATTTACTCCAGGTGTAACTACATTCTGATTTAAGTGTTGATTATATTACACATCATTAATCCAAATCTGTAAAGATAACTAAAGGTATATTAATTAAATGTAGTGGAGCAAAAGTACACCATTTACCTCTGATTTGTAGTAGTAGCATAACATGGACATGCTCAAGTAAAGTACAAGTCTCACAATTGTACTTAAGTACAGTAGGCTACTTGAGTAAATGTACTTCGCACCTCTGCAGCCATCCAACCAAACCCTCTGAGAGCACGTTCTCACCTGTTAATGCTGAAAGGAGGAGAAACAGTGGGAGCACAAGCACTTTCTCCATCGTGATCCCCTGCAGCGCTGCACAGCAAACACTCAGTAGTCTCGTAATGAACCCTGCTCTGGACAAACTGTATCCACCCGCGGTTCTGCTAAATTGAACATGTTTCCTAATCATGTGAAACCAATCTGAAGGAAGAGCGTCACATCGCCACCGCATGCAAACTTCCACTGAATCCCCCATCATGAAAGTGTTGTTTAAGACTAATGATAAATGTCCTAATATTAGCCTATGGATTGATGATGAGATGTTTAGCTTTCGTGATATTGACCTTTTCCCTATAGGAGAAATGATAATAAAGACGTAACTCACAAAACTATCTGTTGTTAGTTTCGCTTCTTCAGCATTGACAGAGGCATGCATCACTGTTGCGGCTTGGAAACGGGAAGGGAAACCCGCAATCGTTTCATAAAGATGTAGAGAAGTTTATATTGCAGTTTTAGTAATAATAACCAGCGAAAATGATAAAAATCGACGTATTCACAAATGTTGACAGGGGGTCAACAGGAAAAGATAACGCGCAATGATTCAATGTTCCTCATGGCTGGAAAACTGGTCCAGTCTCTGGCTTAGGTCAGGAAACTGGTTAGGTCAGTCCAACAAGGCTCAACAAGTATGGATACAATTTTAAAAAAGCAGGGAATACAAGCAAAAAAATAAAAAGGATAACCTAGACAAAAGATAGCACCACTGATTCAAAATGAGATTTAGACTTGAATGAAAGTGGATTTTAGAATTTGCTTTCGACACAATTAACAAAAGGAGTATTGAAGGAACATCAGTTGTTTCTAATTATGTGAAACTGTTCTATGCAGATGCAATATTATTTACTTAAGTAAAAGTAGCAATACCAAGATGAGACAATACTCTGCAAGTCTTCCATTCCAACATGTGTTTAAAATCTTAATTATATAGCTTTCAGAAATGATCAGAAACATTTTACTCATGTCAAATATCAAAGTACACAACACGTCTCAAGTAATAAGTCGCATATATTATTGGAATAGTATAACTGATTCATCTGCATGTAAACTTAAATGTTGTCATGGTGGAGCTAATTTTACAACTTATACAGTTGGGTGTCACAAGAAAATATCAAAAGCACTGTGAGATGATCAACAGGTAGGAATGCAGAAACAGCACACTTTATATTTTGTAACTGTATTGTAACTTGACCCATAACATGTTTATTGTATGCATCAAACACCAAGGCGACTCCCTTTTAAGTGAAATCCAACACGAAAATAAACTTTATTTTGATTTTCAAGTGTGCAACTGTGAAAACACAAGGGTGTTTTTTGTTGTGAAGAAGTCACAGGAAATGCAATGTGGACTGCACATTTGTTAGCGCAAAATAGGTCATCTGGAAGGCACCCACTAGGTGGCACAAGACAAAAGGTTTCCATTCACCTGAAATATACTTATTGTGCTTCAGCAGTTCACAGAGCATGGGCTACCCATATACAAATAAATGAAAAAAACAAGGCACTGAATTTGATGATCTTATAATATTTTACATCTTTCCTGTATAGCCCAACAGGCCTTTTCCACACAACACTCTGGCATTTCACTGAAGGAAATACACATGAATACATACTGTAATTATTGATGAATGAAATGGTTAAGATCACTAACATTTCTTTGTATCACAATGACAAGCCAATATGACTGCTGTGAAAAAGTCTGTTCCCCATGTGTTCAAACAAACAGGGGCCCATCACCTGTGGGTAGTTGGGAGAGATGATAAATGGGGCAGACACCACTTCACTAAGTCACTGCATTTTACCCAGGATTACAGGAAAATAAGTGATGTTGAGGAGGAGCGGGTGGAGAAAATCAGTGTGTAATATTAAAGTGATTAAATCAAAGTTGTTGATTGTGAATCCTGAAAATCTGTAAAATATTATAACAATTCACGTTAAATATAAATGATCTGTTAAATATAAATGATCTGTTAAATATAGTTGGCAAGCTTACTTGCAGTATGACTTAACTTAAATATATACTGTACTGTTACAATGTGAGGTGCAGGTGAAAAACCAATACGGGGAGAGAGGGTTTTCTTTAAAAAATAAACAGAAGTTTTATTTCTTAGCCTTCCATATTCTTTTACAGGAACACAAAACGTCATGCCTGGTGCTGCGTTCACCAGCAAAGAACAAACACAAATGCCCCCCTCCCCTCCCCTCCCCTTTAAAACATTAGAACAGATATTTACATTATCAACGGAATGTGAAGAGGTTACAGTGATTAGTTATGTTAAAGATTGAATGTATTGAATTTCTAGATACTGAAATTAGCATGCTAACCAACAACTGTAGCGGGGGTCTGACCCTGGATTACTGACCCTGGGGTACTGACCCTTATTTTTTTAGATATATAACTAGACTGTATATCTAGATCGCATGGACCCAGTAGTAGAGGTGAAATGCTGCCCCCCATTTCTTTAGAACATATGGATAGGCAAAAACAATTGCCATTTTAATATGTCCTATATAGTCTGATTTGTACGCACGCTGATCATTTTGAACCTCACATAGACAACTACTGCCAAAATCATCACCACAAAGCCGACAATGCTAAGAGCCAGGGGAACATAAGAAGGGGAATCTGTGGGGAGATAACAGTGGAAACATATTTTGATCAAACAGTAATTTAAAATTATTATAATGGTCGTAGACAGTCACTTGAATGAAAGCTAACTCTAACTAACATTTCTGATTTTATATTTTGACTCAGCCCACTCAAAAAGTACCACTATGAGTTTATGTAAAATTTGAGGGAAGGATATGAACATGAATTATATCTATCCGTCCTTCTTACATACGTTTTTGGGACAAGCTGATGGTGACACTTGTTGAGGGTCCAGTAACAGTTTGCAGTTTACAGGTGTAATTTTTTAATAGATCCTCATCTGACACCTTTTTGAAAACTAGAGATGCCGTCATCTTTATCTCTTCACCATGTATTTCCCTGGAAAGGAAAGGGAAAGTACAGGTGTTAGTTATGATAGGTGTGTGTGTGTGAATATCTGGCTATGGACTATAACATTTTAACTTGCCGGTATATTTGTGTGAAACATTTACTTTGTGTAATTGTAGAAAACGGGAAAGCTGCTGTTTGTTTCCACAAATGAATCAGTGCTAAACCAGAACACCTCATCAAATTCCGAATCCATGAGAGCTTTACAATCAATCACCTTTGGAGAGCCTAGAAAAAAACAGAGTTTACACAGTTCCATAATTTGTTCATTTAGTCAGAGGGTAAATGCGTGCGTTCATCCATGTGTGTGTATCCACGCTTCAAGATTTATGCTCACCCAAATTTACATGAATTACACCACTTTTTGGTGATATGATCACTGGAGGAAGTCGAAGTCTTTCTGGGTGAAGAAAGGGTGGACACATTTTATATCTGTTTTCTTCTAAATAGAAAAGTAAACATATGGTGGGTAAGTGTTTTTCTTACCCTTTGGTTGGATATCAAGCACCACTGTAAAGGTCATGTTATATATGTTACCATAATACAGGTAAGATCTGGTACAGGTGTAGACACCATGGTCCTTCTCTTCAACACTTGAGAAGTAACTGGCTTTTGGTGTTGACTCGCCTTCCTACAAGAAAAATATACTTGTCAATTTAAGCATACAATGAATATGGTGTGATAATGTAAAAACAAATAATGAACAATGCAAAATGAAGCTTTTAATTTCCCAATAAAATCAAGAATATCTTGAGTCGTCACCTTGTACCATATAACGCCATTGCTGGTAATGTTGAGGGTGACAGCTGGTGTGTTTACATCAGGACAATTCAATTGGCAGGCCTCTTGTGAGTGACATGGGTGAGGGTAACGGCTCCTCTGCTCGCACCCTCTGGACTGTTTTGTACAAACTCTCAGTCTGAACCAAAGCTGGCTGCTGGTATTGCTGTCATGTCAAAAGATTTCACATTTAGGCTTTAAACATTTTGCAGAGGTTCTAAAAATAAGATAGAGACGGCTTCAAGGAACAGTTTCTAAATCAGACATTCATGGTCCCCATGGACTGGTCCATGACTTGGATGGATTTGAGTGAAAAGACTTGTCCGCCAAGGAGGTTATGAAAACCTGTTTACATGTCCGAACTATTTATGTCACTATTCCTATCCTTGCTTAATGACAGATTCCGAGAATTTGATTGATTGTAAAAGAGAAATACTCTTTATCACTTGGTTTTGACTTTACCCCAGAGAGCAGGAGTAATTCCCCTGATGGTTTGCAGTGGCGTTGAGAATCACCAGGCTCCTCCCATGAACCAGCAGGTCCCTGTGCCTCTGCTCAGCTGACGACATGTTGGGGGTCTGATCCATCTCCTGGCTCGGGGGACTGGTCCAGATCAGCTCAGCATCACGGTGATTATCCTCCCCATTCAGACGGCAGTACAGCGCCACCATCTCACCAGCCTCCACATAAATCTCTGTGGGACTCCGGGAACACACACCTGCAAATGAGTGTCACACGTTTTTTGTTAATTGTACTTCCAATACCTAAATATATTAATGTGTTTATGGGCCTTAAAAATCAACTAAAAGATTGAAAAGTAATATTTTATGGTCAAAGGATATGGGAAATTAGTTTTCTATTAAAAAAAATCAGTAAATGGACACTTCACTGCTGTCAACCAATCAGAGCATAGCTTCAATTCTGAATTAAAAGGATGTTATTAAAGGAATAGTTAGACATTTGCAAAGTATGTTATTACCTGCCAAGATTAAGATGATAGACACCACTCTTATGTCTGTAGAAAGAATATGAAGCTACAGCCAAATTCTTCTTATATTAATAAAAAGTGTAAATAATATAAGCACCAACCCTGAAATCACCCAGGCAAGAAATAGTCTTGCACATGACTTCTTGTAAAACCAGAAATAATATGTATCTTTACACCTTGGTTTATTTGCAAAATATTTTTGGTCATTTTCCCTCGCTCCAATGACCATTAGACCATTTGGTAAGGTAAAAAGCAAAAACGCCTCGCAGACGCTCTTACGTTTACTTTTTTAATTAAGAAAAACAAAAGGTCCGAAGATCTCCCTCCATCATGTTGATTTGAATCCGAAGTTCTGAACATGAGCCCGCCCCGCTCGACCTTCTGAGCCAATCACAGCGCGATAATGACCTGCCTTCCGTTTCGACTATACTTTCTCTCACACATACAGTACATGCATTCTTCTCTTGCATACATATATTGTTTTCAGACATGCATATATTATTTATAATATGAAATGTAAACATTGAATGAATGTGCATGAGAGCAAAATGTATAAATATGAGCGTTACAATATATGAATATGAGAGCAAAATGTATAAATGTTTGAGTGAAAAATGTATAAATATGTGAGTGACAATATATGAATGTGTGCATTGAAATGTGATATGAGATCAAAATGTGTGAGTGTAAATATGTATGTGTGCGAGAGTGAAAATGTATGTATGTAAAAGGAGAATGTATGTGTGTGAGAGGACCAGTATAAATTACGGTCTGTACGGCCCCTCATACACATCTGAATTGACTGTTGAACCACATGTTTGAAAACGAAAAAAAACTAAGTTGTCTTATTTGACAGTTTGTGTGTTGGTAGCTGCGGTTTCTAACCACATCCTAATTTCTTTGCTGCGTGTTAATGCATTTTCCATCACACTGAAATAACAAGCTTAAAGAAAATAAGTGATTGGCAAATGTATCCAACATTTAAAAGTGTATGCAATAGTTGCACAATGTTTAATATCCATGGTGATCATATCTGTATGCCACTACATAGCATAGAAACAGTCTGTGCAGTTATTGTATTTTGGGGGCAGTCAGGACATCTATGAAGATTCCTTTTTGGTGGTTTTTCCCTACAGATTTATTCCAGCACTCTTCCAGTATTTTGAGTCTATTTTTAGCATACTTTATTAAGCATTTACATGTTCTGATGCTATCATTTTACAATACATTTCAGAGGCATGGACCCAAATTCAGAATAATATTATATGTTCTGATTAAAACAATTGATGCATTACATTTTATCAAAGCTGGTAAAGGTGCAGCTAGTTTCAATGACTCTGTATACTGCAGGGTAGCTTGTGAATTCACTCCAGGTGTAACTAAAGTCTGATTTAAGTGTTGATTATATTACACATCATTAATCCAAATCTGTAAAATAACTAAAGGTATTAATTAAATGTAGTTGAGTAAAAGTACACCATTTACCTCTGATTTGTAGTAGAAGTACAAAGTAGCACTTACTTCCCACCTCTGCAGCCATCCAACCAAACCCTCTGAGAGCACGTTCTCACCTGTTAATGCTGAAAGGAGGAGAAACAGTGGGAGCACAAGCACTTTTTCCATCGTGATCCCCTGCAGCGCTGCACAGCAAACACTCTCTCGTAATGAACCCTGCTCTGGACAAACTGTACCCACCCGCGGTTCTGCTAAATTGAACATGTTTCCTAATCATGTGAAACTAATCTGAAGGAAGAGCGTCACATCGCCACCGCATGCAAACTTCCCCTGAATCCCCCATCATGAAAGTGTTGTTTAAGACTAATGATAAATGTCCTAATTTTAGCCTATAATGATAGTGAGATGTTTAGCTTTCGTGAAATTGACCTTTTCCCTATATTATGAGAATAATATAGACAAATAATATAGATGTCAACTCACAACACTTTCTAATTATGTTTCTAATTTGGTTGTGTTTGTAGTTGGTGGAAGCAGGGAAAGGCATATACGTGCCTTGATCCCTGCCGAGTCGATGCACAACTGTTGATTAGTGTCAGTGCCAAAAAAACACTTTTAGGAGCAATGCGCTCATGGTATAGATGTGGCGCATACGTCTTAGTTCCTACTCTTTCCCCTCACCTTATCCTAAGGGAGTCCATGTACGTAGACACGTTGTGCCTCTCCACCTCTGTTCCTTACTTCTTACTTGCTACCCCTTTCCCTCAACCTATCCTAAGGGAGTCCATGTACGTAGACACGTTAGTTTTGCTGCTATAGGCTTAGACTGTCGGGGGACACCTTACTTCTTCCTTCTCTCTGTCTGTACCTGTGTACTCTCATGTTCTGAATAACCCAGCTTCCCCCAAATTTCTTTTTGGTGTCTATCTACGCCGGGATCCTGAGTCATGGCTGATCCTGTTGCTGCGGTCCTGTGTCCTGGATCCTGAATCATGTGTCCTGGATCCGGAGTATCATGAGTCCTGGATCCTTAGTCCCGAGTCCTGGATCCTGTGTCCTGGATCCTCTATCCTGAGTTCTGGATTTGAGTCCTGGACTTCGAGTCGTGGCTGAACCTATCACTGTGGTCCTGCCTGACTCTCATCATACTACTTCCCTGAAGGCTCCCACAGGATTGTTGACATCCTCGTGGATTCATATTCTTATTATAGACACATGCATTTCCAGACATTTGGTCTACCTATATTGTAAAATGTATTATCTCTTCGATTTACACACGGCATCTATTGCACGTCTGTCCGTCCTGGGAGAGGGATCCCTCCTCTGTTGCTCTACCTGAGGTTTCTCCCATGTTCCCCTTTGTGCGATGACAATAAAGGAATTCTATTCTATTAAACTGTGGGTTTTCTCTGGAAGTTTTTCCTTGTACGATGTGAGGGTCTAAGGACAGTATTGTCATACTGATATTCTCTACAAACTGTGAAGACCACTGAGACAAATGTAACATTTGTGATATTGGGCTATATAAATAAACATTGATTGATTGATTGATTGATGTGAAACTGTTGCATTTGTGCAGTTCTATGCAGATGCAATATTATTTAAAAGTAGCAATACCAAGATGAGACAATACTCTGCAAGTCTTCCATTCCAACATGTGTTTAAAATCTTAATTATATAGCTTTCAGAAATGATCAGAAACATTTTACACATGTCAAATATCAAAGTACACAACACGTCTCAAGTAATAAGTCGCATATATTATTGGAATAGTATAACTGATTCATCTGCATGTAAACTTAAATGTTGTCATGGTGGAGCTAATTTTACAACTTATACAGTTGGGTGTCACAAGAAAATATCAAAAGCACTGTGAGATGATCAACAGATAGGAATGCAGAAACAGCACACTTTATATTTTGTAACTGTATTGTAACTTGACCCATAACATGTTTATTGTATGCATCAAACACCAAGGCGACTCCCTTTTAAGTGAAATTCAACACGAAAATAAACTTTATTTTGATTTTCAAGTGTGCAACTGAGAAAACACAAGGGTGTTTTTTGTTGTGAAGAAGTCACAGAAAATGCAATGTGGCCTGCACATTTGTTAGAGCAAAATAGGTCATCTGGAAGGCACCCACTAGGTGGCACAAGACAAAAGGTTTCCATTCACCTGAAATATACTTATTGTGCTTCAGCAGTTCACAGAGCATGGGCTACCCATATACAAATAAATGAAAAAAACAAGGCACTGAATGTGATGCTCTTATACTATTTTACATCTTTCCTGTATAGCCCAACAGGCCTTTTCCACACAACACTCTGGCATTTCACTGAAGGAAATACACATGAATACATACTATAATTATTGATGAATGAAATGGTTAAGATCACTAACATTTCTTTGTATCACAATGACAAGCCAATATGACTGCTGTGAAAAAGTCTGTTCCCCATGTGTTCAAACAAACAGGGGCCCATCACCTGTGGGTAGTTGAGAGAGATGATAAATGCCAAATCAATTATAAAATCTTTATAAAATGACAAATAGTTAAGCCAAAATGTTAGTGAGGGAGTGTGTGCGCTTTGTAAGAAATTAAAATCAATATTGAATGACGTAACTTAGTTTAAACATAGAGTAAGCTTAAAACTGTTTTATTCTGAAGAAATTCCCGGTTAGCATTGGCTTGTGGCTAACGTTGTTGCTAAAGGAATGTACAGTTTATTTTGAAAAGCTTTATTGAAAGGCGTCAACATTGTCAACAGTGACATCACTTCCGGTTTTACGATAACAACGATTACAGCCAATAAAATGCATTAAATAAAGAGTCCACCAGGCGCCTTGGGGGACTTCTTGGAGGAATTAGATAATCTCCTCTCATACATCCCTGAAACTGGCCCTCCCGCTGTACTTCTCGGAGACTTCAACCTCCAGACAGGGAAGATAGACGAACTAACATCTCTGTTAACCGCCTTTGCTTTCTCACTGTCTCCATCCCCACCAACTCATAAAGCTGGCAATGTCCTTGATCTCATATTATCAAGGAACTGCACTACTTCTAACCTCTCTGTCAACCCGCTCCACACATCCGATCACTTCTTCATTTCATTCTCTCTACCCCTTTCCAAACATAAGGAACTAATCTCTTCTCATCCTGCACCTGTCCGCCGTAACCTTCATTCCCTCTCCCCCTCTACCTTTGCCTCATCGGTGCACTCAGCCCTCCCTTCCTCTGACTCGTTCCAACTCCTACCTCCAAACTCTGCTGCAGAAACTCTCCTCTCTACTCTCTCATCCTCTCTGGACTCTCTCTGTCCTCTCACATCTCGGCAGGCGTGTCAGTCCCCTCCTGCTCCCTGGCTAAATGACGCACTGCGTGCTAATAGAACCGTCCTTCGGGCAGCAGAGCGGAAACGGTGGAAATCCAAACACCGTGACGACCTCCTAACCTATCAGGCTCTCCTCTCCTCTTTCTCTGCTTCGATCTCTCAGGCAAAAAGGACTTTCTTTCCAGATAAGATCCAATCTTCCTATTCCAATCCCACAAAACTATTTTCCATCTTCTCCACCCTCTTGGACCCTCCAAAAGCTCCTCCCCCCTCCTCCCTTCTGTCAAGCGACTTTGTTAACCACTTTGAAAAAAAGGTTGATGATATTCGCTCTTCTTTTTCTGACTCACCTTTACTCACCACTGGGTCACCAGACCCCACTTCCACCGACACACTGACCTCCTTTTCCCCTCTCTCTCCAAGAGAGGTTCTTACCCTTATTACCTCTGCCCGCCCTACCACCTGTCCTCTGGACCCTATCCCTTCAAACCTCCTTCAGACTATCGCTCCTGATATTCTACCGTTTCTCTCCCATTTCATCAACACTTCTCTAACTTCTGGTCACTTTCCAAACAGTCTCAAGGAGGCAAGAGTAAACCCTCTCCTAAAGAAACCCACTCTCAACCCGTCTGATGTTATAAACTACAGGCCTGTCTCTCTCCTCCCGTTCCTGTCTAAAACACTTGAACGCGCTGTCTTTAAACAACTCTCCTGTTATCTCCATCAGAACAACCTTCTGGATCCGCACCAGTCTGGTTTCAAGGCAGGTCACTCCACAGAAACTGCTCTCATTGCTGTCACTGAGGAACTGTGTTACGATTATTGTGTTATGTCACGTTTTCTATGTCTTGGTTTGGGTGTTTTGCTGTTCTCCCTGTCATGTTTTCCTCTGGGTATATTGTCGGGTCCTTTTCCCTGTGTTTTTCCTCCCGTCGTTAGTTTCGCTGGTGTGTCTAGTTGTCTGATTGTTTTCACCTGTGGCACTTGTGTTTCTCCACCCCTGCCCAGCTGTTTCTCGTCTTGTGATTACCCCTCCCGGTATTTAGTCTTGTCTCTTTCTGTGTTCAGTGTCGGTTCGTCTTGTGTCATGACTAGTTCGTCGGTGAGTGTTCTGTTTTGTCTTTGTTTATCACCTAGCCTTGAAATAAAGGAATTTTCACTTTAATCTGCATTTGGGTCCTGCCTGCTTCACACACCGTAACAAACTGCACACTGCCAAAGCAGCATCCCTCTCCTCTGTCATCATCCTGTTGGACCTGTCTGCTGCATTCAACACGGTGAATCATCAGATCCTCCTTTGCACTCTCCAAGAACTTGGAGTTTCAGGCTCTGCACTTTCCCTCATCACCTCATACCTCAAAGACTGCACCTACAGGGTTACTTGGAGAGGGTCGGAGTCCGACCATTGTCAATTAACTACAGGGGTTCCTCAGGGCTCTGTTCTTGGTCTCCTCCTCTTCTACTTGTACACAAACTCGCTCGGATCTGTCAATAGCCCGCATGGTTTTTCATACCACTGCTACGCTGACGCCACCCAATTAATTCTGTCCTTTCCCCGCTCAGAGACCCAGGTCGTCGCATGCATATCTGCTTGTCTAGCTGACATCTCTCAGTGGATGTCTGCTCATCACCTCAAGCTCAACCTTGACAAGACTGAACTGCTTTTCCTTCCGGGAAAAGATTGTCCCACTCTTGACCTAACAATCAACATCGGCACCTCTATTGTTTCCCCGACTCAGACTGCAAGGAATCTGGGTGTGATCCTAGATAACAACCTGTCCTTCACTGCAAACATAGCTGCTACAACCCGTTGCTGCAGATACACGCTTTACAACATCAGGAAGATACGTCCCCAGCTGACCCAG